TATATATATAATCAGAAAGAAAAGTAAAGGAAAAACAACGTGTTTTTTTTCCTCCCGCTTTCCGCGGGAAAACGCACATGCGGGATTACGAATGCGGGCGCTGCCGCGTTATGCACAACCATCCTTGTTCCCATTTAGCGGTCGCGAGATCTCCTCGTAACCATCCGTTAGCTCTGCAAATTTTGTCAAGGGTCATTTGCATACTAACCCACAAACTTTTCATATATTTATTTATGTGGATATATTATTCCTATCGTATATATTATCACTATTTTAAATTTTGAAAAATGAAATACATCTTTTCAGATATAATTCAGATGGTACATATGTAAATATTGATATTTAAATATAGAATATGTAAATGTGTTAAAGTTGAGTGATATATTTTAAATAAATTTCATGCTTCCCGTGCTTCGATGCTCAACATTTAAGAACAAAAAAGTAGAGAGAGAGAGAGAGAGGGGGAAAGTGGGAGGAGAATAGAAACAGAGAAGGGGAGGGAGAGAGCTTACGGAAATGGAGGAAGGGCTTCTGGAGAAGGAGGAAAGAAGGGGGAGGGGAAAGTGCTGCGATTTTACGGATGAGGCGCGGAGGCTGGGTTACCTCGCAGGGCCGATGATGGGGGTGACGCTGTCGCTATACCTGGTTCAGGTGATCTCGTCGATGATGGTCGGCCATCTCGGCGAGCTCGCGCTTTCCAGCTCCGCCATTGCGACTTCCCTCTCCGGAGTCACTGGCTTCAGTCTCCTCGTAAGTCCACTTCCTTCGCTTTCCGACCTCCTATTCCTTTTTCCGTAATGGATTCCGCTTCTGGATGATGCCGCTTCGATTTCCAATTAGGGTCTGGTCTTCTAATGTTATTTCTGTGAGAATCTGTATGGTTGAAGGGGAAAGTTGTGGTAACTAATTCATTTGTATATAAATTTTGCCGAGTTTAATTTTTTTTTTTTTTACTTTGACCGAACTTTGACCGAAAATTTGGAGCGAAAATTTGGAGTTTTCTTATGATTGCTTTGTTCAAAAAGTCATCAAAATCTTACATTATTTCACTCCCGAGTCATCATAATTTTACATAGGGTATGTATTGGGGGACAGGATTGGAGGAAATATCTATGGATATTACTTTAGATTCAATCCTTCTTTTTTGATTTCAAAGCAATTAAAGTGGCAATTAGATTAAGTAGCTGGTGCCGGCAGGGAAATTTAAGTTGCAGTTCCAGTTGTATATATTTAAAGATGGCAGATGTGAGTCGTCTGCTAAGTTAATTGGCTGGTGGAAACTTGATATTAAATGCTGTCATTATAGCTGCTGCAAACGTGCTCCACCGCCGACTCGAGTATCACACCACGGATGATCTGGACCGCTCTTGGCCAGTCATTCTCTAGCCAACCAAAAGTTCATCTTCTTTATAGGAGCGCTTTTTCTATCAGAAGACCTAACGTTCCTCAACGTACGCTGACCAATTAAATTAGGCCGCGTGGAAAATGTGGAACCCGCTTGTCCACATAATTTAAAAAAAAAATAAAGTACTCTGAAGCCCGACCGGGCCCGATGTACAACCTCGTGCCTCTTCGAGTAGAAACTTCGAGTATTCTGCCTTTTAGAATGTCGAGGAAGACGTTTCGAAAATACTTTTCGATAGGTTTTTTCACTGTTCGCTCTGCTAGGGTTTCACATTTCTCTCGTTCGATAGCTTCGAACTCGTAAGACGATGAAGTTTGATGATCTGGAGTATGTGCAAGCTGAGAAGAGCCCAAGAACAGTATCAGAAGAGGCTGAGAAGACAGAGGTTGAACAGTCAACAAAGTCAAAGAAGCAGAGGAAGAAGGAGGCGAAGAGGATGAAGGAGGGCATTGAAGGGGAAAACTTGTCCTTGTAATTGTCATCGTTTTATTCTTAGATTATTTTTAGGTTACTTTTTTGCTTATACATGGATTACTTAGAATTTATTTCCGTTTATTGTTAGGTTATTATTAGGTTATTATTAGGTAATATTCATCGTCTTATTCTTAGGTTATTTTTAGATTATTTTTCTGCGTTATTCGTCGTTTATTTTTAGGTTATTTTTCTGCGCAGGTTATTTTTAGAATGGCTGCCTTCGATGAATCTGCAGTTGATAGTGAAATAAATAAAGCTATCGAGGAACCTGGAGAAGGCATCCCTAAAGACCCAATTGGTAGCTTAGTCCGAAGGATCAAGTCCAGAGGACCGAGGAAAAAGAGGACAGTTTGATCTCCATTTGTTGTTGTAAAGAGAAAGAAAATGAAATAACTGCCGACCTCTAAGATAGATGATTTAGTAGAGCATATTGATGATTCTTCTACACCAATTACCATACCATCTCCACAGCTCGATGAAGCTAGAGAAGAGAAGGCTGAAGAAGCTTTGGAGGATGTACAACCGGGCGCAATTGTTCCATATGAAGGTGCCCTCCCTTGTTCAGGTTCAGCCGTAGAGGTTCAGCCGTAGAGTTCCCCGACAGAGAAATACTACCATCACATATACAGCAGGTCATAGATACTTGTTTAAAAATGTACAAAGAAAGGTATGTGAAAACAGAACACTTTTTTGTCAATTGTTTATTAAATCTAATAAAAATTATTCAATCAATATGCAGGGATGACATAATAATTGTTCAGGGTCACATTCATATAAGTCGAAATGACCTTGAAACACTTTGGGATAATAAAGAAGTTGGGATAGAACATGTAGATATGTTTGCCATTAGATTAGATAACCGTAGGCGTCAGTGCCTTGATTCTTTTAGGCCATATTTGTACGTCTCTCCGGCACATTGGGTAAGTAATAAAATTCTCATCAATGTTAGATGTTCATGCTATTTTAAAGTCTTTTTTTTTTGAATATGCAGGGGTTCAGATACCATCCTCTGTGAGATATTGTTGCCCACGTCACAGTGGAAGCTGTATCTTAAACAGAGGCAATTTTAGTTCCAATAATTAATAATAGGCATTGGACTCTACTTTTCGAGAACTAGAAGGACCGCAAGTGGAGATTCTACGACTCATTGCCTAATAAAATGCATTTGGGAGTCACCCGCGACGTGTTAAAACTCTAACCCTTATCTAACTAATAACTGACATAAACTGTGTATTCTTTCACTGTTTTAAATTACCATTTGTATTAACAGATAAGACATCTTCCTAAGGGCGCCGGGAAAACTTTCTGCAGTGACCCGAGTAATTGAGATGTTATCACGACAAGAGGCATTCCCACACAGTAATAGTGTCGACTGCGGTATATTTGTTTGTAAATACATGAAAGCAATTATACAGAAAGGTAAGATTAAATGGAAAGACCATCTAGACTGGCAGGCTGAGATGCCTTGGTTTAGGGCAGAGCTCATATATGAAATCTGTAGATATAAATTATTTGGAGGATAAATGCAGGGGTGAATGTATTTATGTTTTACAGGTTGAATGACTGCAATTTGACAGGCTTATATGTCTTCGATTTGGTCTATATAATTTTCTATTGTGTTTGAAATGCGAAATCTATAACAATTTGATATCTTATTGCAAGGGTGAATGTATTTTTAAGTTATTGTTACGGTTGATGTATTGTGGGAGTATTGTTGTGTTATTGCTGGGGTATTGCTGTGTTATTGTTAGGTTATTGTGAGAGTATTGCTGTGTTATTTCCGGAGTATTGTTAGGCAATTGTGGGAGTTTTGTTGTGTTATTACTGGGGTACTACTGTGTTATTCCTGGAGTAATTTTAGGTTATTGTTGAGGTATTATTACGTTATAGTTGGGTTATTTTTAGGTTATTCTTGGAGTATTGTTAGGTTATTCTTAGGTTATTCTTAGGTTGTTGTTACGTTATTGTTGGGTTATTCTTAGGTTATTGTTAGGTTATTCTTAGAGTATTGTTAGGTTATTGATGAAGTATTGTTAGGTTATTGACGGAGTATTGTTAGATTATTCTAACGTTATTGGTGGGTTATTCTTAGGTTGTTGTTAGGTTATTCTTAAGTTATTGACGGAGTATTGTTAGGTTATTGTCAGAGTATTGTTAGGTTATTGTTAGGTTATTGTCGGAGTATTGTTAGGGCATTGTCAGAATATTGTTAGGTTATTATTAGGTTATTGTTAGGTTATTGTTAGGTTATTCCTAGGTTATTGTTACGTTATTGTTGGGTTATTCTTAGATTATTGTTAGGTTATAGTTAGGTTATTGTTGGGTTATTGACGAAGTATTGTTAGGTTATTGACGGAGTATTATTAGGTTATTGACAGAGTACTGTTAGGCTATTGTGGGAGTATTGCTGTGTTATTGTTGGAGTATTGCTGTGATATTGCTGGAGTAATTTTAGGTTATTGTTGAGGTATTGTTATGTTATTATTGGGTTATTTTAAGGTTATTCTTGGAGTATTGTTAGGTTATTCCTAGGTTATTATTACGTTATTGTTGGGTTATTCTTAGATTATTGTTAGGTTATTTTTAAGTTATTGTTAGGTTATTGTTGGGTTATTGACAGAGTTGTTATGTTATTGACGGAGTATTGTTAGGTTATTGACGGAGTACTGTTAGGCTATTGTGGGAGTATTTCTATGTTATTGTTGGGGTATTGCTGTGTTATTGCTGGAGTAATTTTAGGTTATTGTTGAGGTATTATTACGTTATTGTTGAGTTATTTTTAGGTTATTGTTGGAGTATTGTTAGGTTATTGATGGAGTATTGTTAGGTTATTGTTAGATTATTGACGGAGTATTGTTAAGTTATTGTTAGAGTATTATTAGGTTTAGAATAATGTTATATGAAGTAGTACATGTGAATTACAAAACATACATCTACAGTTTCCATTTGGAATAATGTTATATGAACTAGTACATTAGTACAAATGGGGTGAAGTGGGCACAACACATCAAAACAGGTGAATTATATTGGGCACAGAGCATGTGGGATCTGGTGTGACAATTTCCTGACTCAGCGAGTGTGACACTGCAATTGTATTTGCGTCGTAATGGATGTGCGGTTCTTGGCTCGTATATGTTTCTTGATTTTTTCTTGCATACTGTGGTAAAAATATAAGACAATTAATTTTGCATATAATCGTAAATATATGGAATGTAAAATGGTAAATATATGGAATGTAGAAATATATACCTTTAGCTTTCTTATTTTTTTCCCAGTATCCTTTCAACCTCGCATTAGAAATACCTTTCGGTCACACTTTTGCAGGATCATTCACATTGCAGTCACTGTTATGAGATTTCCTTTTTTTGTTTGGCCTATTTGGTTTAGGATCATTCCCATCTAATATATTCTCAACACCTTCAGACCCTGTTTTCAATAATTCAATTATATATGTTTCGACGCATTCATTTCCTTGAACTTTGTTAATTAATTGGTAGGCAAACTTTTGAGCATGTGACCAAAATAAGATTCCTCTGGAAGTTGTGCCAGACACTTGAGCCTGAGAGTCTTTCATATGTTTATATTCAAAACTATTATAGATATCTTTCTTTGCCTTAGCAGATCATCTGAATAACAAATATTTCTCTGGAATCTTTGTTATATTGTTAGCTTTAAGGACGCGTAGAGAGTGAGAGCAAAGCAGACCCATCATTTCGAATTTCTTGCAACTGCAGGTGATGTTGCAATTAACCCTATCAAATGTAACAAGTCAGGTTCTACTAATCCCTACGAAAGGAGCACAACATAAATTATACTTATTCAAACGGTAGCTAGTGTCGAAAGTGATGATATCTTCAAAACAATCATAATC